CCATGGCACCAGTACCTGAGCCCTTTTGGATAGGCACATACCCACCTTCGCTACTACTTGCACTGAAGTCAGTGTGAAGTTGGCCTTGGTTTAGACAAAGCTCCAGCAGCCGTACGTCCCAGCTGGTGGTTTCAGTGATTCTGCAGCAGTCCTGCCAAGAACACGTCCAGCCAGAGCAGTGCAGCGCTGGGGAACAAACGCCCAGCTGAGCCCCATGGTTTGGTGGTACAAATCCAAGCAAAGGGCACAGGAATTCTGAGGACAGGAAGGGCTTTGAGCTGCTCTCACCCCACGCACCCCTTCTCCACAGCCAGGGGTGCCCAGCCCCAACAGCAAGCACAGAGACTGACAGCGTGCACAGCTGGTTTGTTTTGGGGACCTCGCTGTCCTCTCTGACTGCTATATTTTACTAAGGGCAACCAACACGTGCTTGGGTTTTGGGATATTCTTCAATCGCTCTGCTAAATTAGAAACCCCGTGTAACGTCGTCTCTGAATAAATAAAACTGCTCCTAAAAATCACATCCCCCCTCACCTGGAAGGACCACGAGCATGGTAAGTTTGGACCCCTGGCAGCATCCTTGTGAGCAAACAGCTGCACAGTGATGTGAGTGGGCGCAGGCTGTGCTGCCCGGGATGAGCCCCAGACAAACCCCTAGCCTTTGCACAAGTGCGGTGCAGGCTTTGGAGCAAGCGTCCTTTCTTCGTTCCTACAAAGTCTGGTGCTTTCTGGTCAGTTCTGCTACACTGCAGCATACAGCCTTTTTAATCACGGGATATATCAGATCAAGCCTCCCCTAGAGACTTCCTGAGCTCTTTCTCTGCCTACAGAGAGATAAGAGATGGGCCTCCTGTGAACACGAGGGAGGTGAGCTGTTGGCAGGATGCCACACACTTGATCTACCTCCTTGAGGAGCTGGGATATGATTTACAGAACTTCAGCTCCAGGACACACCAACGAGAGCCTTCCTCTCACCCAGAGAGCTCCATCCTCAACTATGGGTTTTGTTTTTATGTCACATAAAGCAAAAATGCACAAGGATGTACCAGACTTTCAGGCATGGAGGGACCATCCCAAAGCTTTTATGGCCATTAAAACCAAATCCCAGGTCCTAACACTTTGCAGACAGCTTTTGGGAAGCGACAAAAACAGCTCAGTGAATCAGAACCTTTCTTTACCCCCATGCCCAGCAGGCAGAGTCAGCCCTCCCTTAGGAAGAGCACTTCTGCCAGAGCCTAGGCACCTAGAGGGAAGCAGACACCACCTCCTTGCACCTTCTGAGCCTCCCAGAGCTGGGCATTCAGTAGGGACAAACAGCAGTTCTCTGCTAAATTCAATAGTGCTTAAGATTATTTTCTCTTGCAGACCTTCACTGCCTATCTTTCCTCAAAGTACAGTGCTGTAACACCAAGGCTCTGATAGCAAGAAGTACCTAAAGAGCTTCTGGTCCACACTTTATGTGTCTTAGAATGTACTTTGGATCAGACTGCAACTTCCATGGCAGAGAGCTTGAACTCAGTCTGTATATCTCACTTTTCTCCTACACCGGGCTCTGGGACAAGACTGTGTCCAGTAACAACCACAGGTGCAAGGCTGCCTGAGTACCCAGCTCTCCCAGGGCCAAATGAAAGCGTGCTTTGGGGATACAGAGCCTATGTTCATCTGCTGCTACAATAGACTTGTTGCAGGGAAAATGCATATAAATCAATCTGCTCTGGCCACACAGCAGCACCTGCTGCTGTTGCAAACCCTGGGATTGGCAGAAGGGGGAACCACTGCAGAGCCTGCCAGAGAGCGGGCTGAGACACAGCGCACAGTCAGCTGAGAAGCAGAGTAAGCAATGGATCTCAAGCCAAGAAGTCAGCAAGGTTCTGCCCCAGATCCAGGGATGTCTGCAATATTCTGTCTTCCACCCCAATAGGCTGAAGACTGATATGAGAATTCAGGCAGGAAGGGACCTCTGGAGGTCTCTAGCTCCCACCACCGGGCTCCACACAGGTGCATTCAAAGCACTGCCAACTTCCAAGACTAATCAGGTTGCTCAAGGCCTTGTCCACGCAAAGCTCTCTGCAGACTCCACTCCAGCCCATCCATGAGCACACACAGCACACAGGTGGACTTTTGGTATCTATGGTCCACAATGCAGCTTTCTCCAAGAAGAGCTGGGTGCTCTTCTGCCTGCCCCTGCTGCATGACAGCAGTGTGTCTCACCCTCTGACACCACCCAAGCACAGCACCCCATGTCTTGTCAGCCAGCAGCCTTGCAGCACTTCCTCCCCAGCTGCCTGGATGTGCAGCCTGACCTGACAGCAAGCTACACCATGGAATGTAATAGGTTGGAGGGGATCTTAAGGATACTGTGGGTCCAACCCCGTGCCTTGGGCTGGGTGCCAGGCACCAGGGCAGGATCCCACCCAAGCTGGCCTTTGCTGTCTCCACAGGCACCCACAGCTGGCTAAACAGCTGTGAGATGGCTTAGAGGAGTCTTCTTGCTTTGAGAGCAATGTTACATGAGTGGTGAGGTGCTGGAACAGCTGCCCAGAGAGGCTGTGGATGCCCTGTCCATCCCTGGAGGTGTTCAAGGCCAGGTTGGATGGAGCCCTGGGCAGCCTGGGCTGGTATGAAATGTGGAGGTTGGTGGCCCTGCGTGTGGCAGCAGGTTGGAGCTTCGTGATCCTTGAGGTCCCTTCCAACCCCGGCCCTTCTGTGACTCTATGAGAGCAGAAAGCAAAGCTTCCTACAGACAGGGAGAACGCACTCTAGGGAGCAACCAGCTGAGGTGGGGGCTGGCAGCAGGGGGATAACAAGGCAAACGCAAAGGCATCTGGGCGTCACACCGGCACCACGAGGAGCTGCAGAATAACGTACCGAGCCTGCTGGGAAGCAACAAGACTTTTACTGCCGCCAACCCCACGGTCTCCCAACAAAACGCTGAACAAGAGCAGTGCGCTTGCGGCATGGATGCCCGCTGAAGAACTGCGATAAACGGGGGGGCGGTGCGGGGGGCGGCTTCTTGCTTCTTGCCGCTCAGCTCCCGGACAGGAGGGAGGAGGAGGAGGAGGAGGAGACGTGCGTTGCCGGGCGCTGTGCCGGACCCCCAGCGGCACTCCGCGGCCCCCGGCAACGCGGCCCCGCCGGCGGGGGAGGGCGGGGGGCTCCGGCGGCGTCTATGTCAGCGTCTCGCCCTTGGTGACCTGCGGCGACAGCGAGCGCTCAGGCCCCGCCCGCGCCGCGCCCCGCCCCGCCCCGCCGCCCGCTCACCCGCGCCTCGATGTACTCGATCCTGCGCTCCAGCGCCGTCAGCTTCTCGTTCAGCGTGGCCAGGCGGGAGCGGCACGACATGTCTGCGGGAGCGGCGGTCAGCGCCCGGCCGCCCGGACCCCTCTCCCTCCTTTTCCTCCTCCTCCTCCCCCACGCCCCGCCGGCCCTCACCGAAGGAGTTGAGGAAGTCGGCGATCTTCTTGATGGAGCTGGTGATCACCTCGATGTACTCGCGGTTGGCCCAGTCCTGGTGGATCTCTCGCTGCACCGGGTCCTCCTGCACCGACATGGCCGCCGCCGCCGCCCGCGCATGCGCGCCGCCTCCTCTTCCTCTTCCTCCTCCTCCTCCTCCCGCCCCCCCGCGGGCTCAGCGCCCCGCCCCGCCGCTGTCGCTGTCGCTGTCCGAGCCGCCCGGCTCCCGCTCGGCTGCGCTGTCCGCCGAGTCCTCCGAGTCCTCCTCCGGAGCCGCGGTAGCCTGGGACAGGATTTCTTCTCCCTGAGCGGAGGGAGGAAGAGCTGCGCTGAGCGGGCGGGATGTGAAAGCGTTTCGGCAGCCTCGAGTGGGCAGGTGGGGGTCCTGCTCCAGCTTCTCCCCTTCCCTCCCGGGTCCTCGGCACCGAGGAAAGGACCCCCGCCCTGCAAACAGCACGAGGCACCCGCTGCGATGGGCCACGCCGAGCCGGCACCCTCAGTGCAGAACCCAACTTCAAGTGCTTCCCACCCTGCTACAGCTGTAACACAGAACTCTGCCGACTTAAATACTTCCTGCTCTGCTACGGCTGTAACAGCACCTTCACACACAGGGTGGTGAGGCACTGGAACAGGTTGCCCAAGGAGGCTGTGGATGCCCCATCCCTGCAGGCATTCAAGGCCAGGCTGGATGTGGCTCTGGGCAGCCTGGGCTGCTGGTTGGCGACCCTGCACACAGCAGGGGGTTGGAACTCAATAATGATTGTAGTCCTTTTCAACCCAACCCGTTCTATGACTCATGCTATGATTCATTCTGTGATTCACGTGGCCTCTTAGCTGCAGTCTGCACAAGGTGAGCACCGTCCCCCAGCTCTCAGTGCTCACCTGCAGGTCTCGGTTCTTCAGGATGCCCACCCAGAAGGCCTCCTGGCAGTGGTTGAAGGCCAGCATTGCCTTCACGCGATATACAAATTGTTCCAGGGACTTCTTCAGCAAAGGCACGTGGTTGGTCAGGCCGAGATCCTGGTGAATCTGAAAACAGCACAGAGTGGGTCCGGTTGGTTTTTGCCAAGGCTAAGTAAAAATTGAGGCTCCACAGGCCCAGGCTGGGTGGAGGATGTCATTGGCAAATTAAATTCTGCTTTAGCAGAATTAGGGAATAGTGCTAGCCCAGGCCATGGCTACACAGGTGGGATGGAACAAGCTATTCCTGGTGAAATAGCAGTCATCTCTGCAGGGCAGCAATGAACAGCCGCACAGTCCCAATGCACAGCAAAAAGCTATGGTCATCAGAGCATCAAACAATCTGCCTAGGAAGAGACACAGCTACTTGCTGATAGCTGCAAGCCCATCATGTCAGATTGCCAAGCACAGAGAAGAAATGAGAAAGATGTAAAATAAACCACTGCAATGGCAATCTCTTCTTGCTCAGTGCCTGACACAGCTCCTTTACATCAGATGTGTGGGATGCGGATCAAAAGCCATCTTGTGCAGAACAAAGAAACACAGGCTTTTGGAGGACTGGAACAGGAGGGAAGAGATGGAATTGCTGTAAGTAAGCACAAAGCAGCTGAGGAAGGGCAGCTATGCCAGGTACTGTGTGTGATTTAGCTCTGGGTGAGCAAGCCTGTCTGAGCAGTCTCTTCCTGCAAGGCATGGATGTGCAGTACAGCATGGAGTCATTGCTGAAACAGAGAAGCTGCTGAGAGCCATAAACAACTTTGTGCATAAGAATGTTTTTCTTTCATGAGAGTACTTTGCAGCCTTCTAGCATCAGATCCTCTCATTAGCTGCAGTCTGAAATCAGATTAACTTCATATCTTGGATGAGTTCAACACATGAGGGTAGGAAGGCACTGCCTTCCTTCATCTGCTACCAGCAGGGAAGAAGTAACTGAGTAACAACAGCAATCTGTTCTCTGGTCTGCGTATAGAGGCAGGAGCTGGCAATCATTGGCAGAACCCACCCAGGAGTGACTGCAGTAATGACACTGCCAATATCACTGTTCTCCCTGGGGACTGGAACCTGTCCCACTGCCTGCAGGCAGTTTGAAGTCTCAACAAAGCACCTTCTCATTTGCCAAAATCTGACCCCAGAAATTCTCTCTCTTGTTTTTCCCAAACCATTTGGCACAGAGACTTGATCAGACCACACTGGTGAAACAAAAGTATTTACTAACTGTGCTTATAGGCTAAAGAGACCACAGAAAACAGCACTTGGACATCCTTTTCTCAGAAATGTGTTCTAGGACCTCTGAGGAACGTGAAAGGAACAAAGCAGTACAAGTAAAATTTTTTCTAACAGCATTTTTGGTTGTCTCTCTTGGGACGAGCACTGGCTGCCCATATTGCAAGCAGGGTGATAATCCTCCTTCCTTCTTTCCCTCACTGTACTACACAGAGGCTGGCAGACTGTCTGATGGCACCCACATCAGCACAGTCCTTTTGGTTTGCCCTCTCCCCTAACATCAACATAACAAACCAAGACGACACCTAGAGGGGATTTTGAGTATGGTTTTCTCCTTGTTCTGGCTCGCAAGGCTGGCGATCTTTGCCACGGCTTCTCTCACGTATTACCAATCTGGCAATTGTACTTTATACCAGGTTTCCAGGGTCTTGGCTTGTGTGTTCAGAAACTCTCCTGCAGATGCCAACAACAGAGGATAACAAGAACCTTTCCTTTTGAATAGGGTATGCTAACCTGATCTGACATCCAATTAAGCAGCTTCCAAATCAAATACTTCAGCTTTTTGGCCATTGACCACGGCTATTTCACCTCCTCTCAGAGCTTTTGCTATAACTGACACATTGTAAGACTGCAATTAGAACCTGGCTGTGCCCTGGAAAAACAGGGAAAAGAATAAAACGTGCTAACAAGAGGAGCACATGGAGCAATTGGAACTTACCTTGGAATGGCCACACATGTGATGGAGCTGTCTGGTACTCAGCTGCAATGTTTTCAGCAAACTCTGCACATCGTCCTGAAATAAAAACATAGCCCAGTAAATAACTGTAAAAGCATTTTCCCACAAGGGACAAAAGGAATTAGTGTAAGAGCTTTAGTCTAAGTAAAACTTTCAGAGGTACAATTCAGAAATCATCAGGTGAACAGGATGAGCCATAGGAGAACTGCACTTTGCACACGGCAACTAAAGTAGGACCACACATCATAACCTATCAATGAAAGCAATTAGGGACAATTAGGATCAATCTTGCCACATCTTGCCTGAGTACAACCTTCTAAAGTAGGGGAACTGGAAGGAAAATATGTAATACTGTTAGATTGTGGTACTTGAAACAATTCCAGCATGAACTCTGGGCAACAATCCATTTTACTGAGCAAATTATGAGGCGCTTTCTATCGTGCAGCAGGTGTCCTTTTTGATAACCTCATTCTCCTAAATATCTGGAGAACAGATCTCAAGTTTGCTGTAGAAATGGTCCTTTCTTAGCGAGTTGGTTGAGATGTGAAGGCTAGTAAAAAAAAAAAAACAAAACAAGAAGTCTCACTGCCAAAGAGGCATTGCCTTGCAGCAAAGCAAGGGATCTCAGACTGTTCTTGTCTGTTGTGTGGTGCACATAGGTTGGTCTGCACCCACAGATGTTGAACTACCCAAAGCTGCAAGAATTTTTTTGCAAAAACACTGTCCTTCCAGATTGGAAACCCTCACCAACCCGACTGCTGAATGTGACCTTCCCACTCTGTCAGGGACACCTCTGTGGTGATGGTATTTGAAGGAGAAGGAGGAGTTTGAAATCAGTTATCAGCAAAGCCATCCAGCTTTGCCAAAGGTTCTTGGCAAGCTGGAAAATACTGTCTGCTGAGGGAGCACTGGACAGGCTAGTGAAGCAAGGCACAGCACAGCTGGAGGCATCAGACACATTGGTCATTAAGTGTCACAAGTGTTATGCCAACGTGTTATAGCAAGCATTAGTCATGCTTCCCAACTGGGTTCAGACAGTTCTCTTTCCAAAGCACTTACCCGATGTTTTTTAAAGCTGTGGTCCAGGAGAGGCATGGCAAGCTTCAGAAATGCTTCTACAAAGAGACGGCCATACTACCAAAAATGACAAATATTTTAAAAGGCAAGTTTAAATTCCTTTTCAAAGAATCATCAGGAAGTCAGGTAAGATAGCCATACATTCTTTCAAGCTACTCCTGGAGACTCCTCTTGCTCAATAGAAGACTACTCTGAAATATACGGCTCAGTAAGGGGTCTTACCTGAATCACTGAAGAGACAGACTAGAAATACATACTCATACACAACCCTGGTTTTACCAGCAAATTGGCAATAGAATCTAACTAAATAAAATTACAGAGTCACTATAGAAATCCTAGTCAGAAAAGGCAGAGTTGCAGGGAGATGTGTGGTCTTCCTGGGCTCCAAGGGAGACCTGCTTGTTGTGATGTTTATTCTGACTTGAAGTATCATGGTAAAGGAGAGAGGGGGAAGGGCTTAAACCAGTAGTGGCAATTGTAGCAAATTCTCTGTGGTTGAGCCATGCAAGGACAGTAAGTGGAAAGGTAAAAATGCAAAGGTATGTGTGCTACTTCCAGAGAATGCAGTAACTACTCTGGTACTTCTGGTACTGGAAACAACAATTCAGAAAAGCTGATGCTTCAGCAGCTCTCTTCAATGGAGTTCTTGCTTACCTTCAGGCAGATGCTGAGTACAGGCCTGCTGTCAAACACCTATGTGGACAAGAGTTAGAAATGAGTTAGATAAGTCTGCAAGTCAGAACGAAATAATGCAAGCACAGCAAACAGTTAAAAATAGCCCACTGTTGTATGCCATTTCTTGGCATGTGACACCTATTTCTAAGGCAACATCCATTCTCAAGTTTTGACAGGGAGCATCATGCAAGTGCACAAAATGTAATGGTTGTCAGACAGAAGTACTTTGCAGAATGGCTACTCAGTCATCAAAAGAGAGCAGGGAGGTAGACCTTTTGCAGATGGCACAAAATCATCTCAGTGATTCTGAAGTTCTTAATAGCCTGGAAACTGAGAGACCCAGCCCAGCTGATAGGCAAGAGCCATGTAACAGACAAAGCAAAACTGAGGTGTGCAAAAGAATGTCTTTCAGAGGAAACAGTGAAGCTGTTACATTAATGAGGCCAGCTGGCAGAAGGCACCAGTTATCGCTGCACAGGTCACACAGCTG